GTTGGAGTGCGCCTAGGCACGTCGCGTCGGTACGGGCTGCCTACGTGTGGCGACCGACGCCCGCCCTGGCAGCTGGAGCCTCGGTGGCCGGCCTGTGCGCCCTCCCACGATTCTCGTCCTGCGCCACCGATCGATCATCCCAGCCGATTCTCAGATCCAGCAAGATCCAACCGTGCGTCAGGCCACTATTGGAGAACGTCCTTAATCCACCTACTGCCGTGACCCACGCCCTGCAAACCTCTGTACCGCTGCAAAGAAGGCCCAGGCGGTTCTGTTCCGCCGCTGTCTATTTACTGCCTGTCCTGCCCTGCACTGCTGCGTGCGCACTGCAGACCTCTCCCCGCCCAATAGCCGAAGTTGCGAAACTTTTTGTGTTGCGCCGCTGCCGTCATCGCCAGCCGCCATGCCCAAGGAACACAAGAAGCGCGGCCGCCGCGACGACCAGAAGAAGCGCAAGCGGGACCAGGACGACGATGCGAGTGCAAAGCGCTTCAAGAAAGAGGACCTCGACCAGCTCGAAGCCGAAAACCCTGCGCAGCATGTCCCCGAGCATGACGTCGCCCGCCCGGATGCGACGCCCTTCTACGGAATGCTCGACGAGCAGGAGCAGGAGTACTTCAAGAAAGCCGACGAGATGCTCGAGCTGAACCAGTTCGAGAGCTCCGAGGACCGCGACATCTTCCTCGCCAGCGTCTGGAAGGAGGCCGACGGGAAGGAACTGAAAATCGCCAACAGCCAGACGTCGCGCCTGCTCGAACGCCTGATCCTTCTTTCCTCTCCCGACCAGCTCAAGGGCCTGTTCCAGAAGTTCAGCGGAAAGTACGTACTGAATCGCTCCTTCCCCACTCAACTTGCTAACCCGTCGCAGCTTCCTCAACCTGGTCCAGAACCGATTTGCGTCCCACTGCTGCGAAGCCCTCTTCATACAAGCTGCGCCTGTCGTCACCCAAGAGACTGCCACCAAACCTGAGAAGCTTGCAACACCCCCGTCGTCAGACCCCGACCAAGTCCTCGTCTCCATGGAGAATTTGTTCCTGTACACGCTGGGCGAGCTGGAGGGCTACATGGGTTTCCTAATGACCGACAAGTATGCATCGCACGTACTGAGAGTACTCCTCGTCATTCTATCGGGCGCCCCGCTGGAAAAACAGAACAAGTCGGCTATGCAGAGCAAGAAGAAGGAAAAGGTCACCGTCTCAGGTGCAGAGAAGGAGCAGGAACGTCTACTCGAAGAAAGGGCCGTCCCCGAAAGCTTTTCCGAGGCCCTGGAGAAGGTCATCAGCGAGAGTGTTTCGGGCATTGAGTCGCACTACCTCCGTACCCTAACCACACACCCACTCGGCAGCCCCACTCTACAACTGCTGCTCAAGCTGGAGCTCTCCCACTTCGGCAAGTCGCGCGCCAAGGACGAAAAGTCCATCATCCACCGACTTCTCCCAGATAATCCTATCGCGGAAGGAACAGAAAGCGCCATCCTGATCAACGGGCTTGTGTACGACACCATTGGCTCCCGGCTACTGGAAGTCATCATCGAGAATGCGCCCGGAAAGGTATTCAAGTCCATTTACGGAGAGTTCTTCAAGGAACGTATGGGTACGCTAGCTCGCAATGAGATCGCGGCCTATGTGGTTGGAAAGATCATGGAAAGACTCGGCAAGGACGATCTAGAAGAAGCCATGCGTCAAATAGTGGACCAGATCCCCAGCTTGGTAGAACGTGGCCGGACGGGAGTTATCAAGACACTCATCGAGCGATGCGTCGCGCGTGACATCGACTGCTCGCCTATCAAGGCTCAGCTGGAGACTGCATATGCCGGCTCCAACGGCTTCGAAGTCACACGCATTCTCAAGCTCAGTGAGGAAGACGGCAAGCCTCGTGCTAAGCACGAACACTCACCCGAGAAGGTTCACGGGTCACTCCTGGCACAAACCATGATGACCGTGGATGGGCCCCTCGGCCAACTTGTCTTCGACTCTTTGGCCAACCTGTCCCCTGAACTCGCCGTTCAGCTCGCTCGCGACTCTACAGCTTCACGGACGCTTCAAGCGGCCCTAATGTCCAAGAACGCTTCTGTCATCTTTCGCCGAAAAATGATACAACAGTTCTATGGCAAGATTGGTGAACTTGCACTCGATCCTGCTGCATCCCACGTCATCGATGCCATCTGGCACGGTACAGCCGGCCTCGCTTTCATCCGCGAGCGCATCGCGGAAGAGTTGGCCGAGAACGAGAACTCGCTTCGCGAATCCTTCGTCGGGCGTGCGGTCTGGCGAAATTGGCGCATGGATCTCTACAAACGCAAACGCGGCGACTGGGTCACACAATCCCGCTACACCGCCGGCAATGACGGATTCCAAAGCTTCCCCGAGTCCAACGGCGACGCAACACCCCCGCAAAACCATCGGGCGGGAAGACATCTGACAGCTATCGAGTTGGCAAGGCAGAAGCATGCCGCTGCGAAAGCCTCACAAGCCAAGGACGGTAAAAAGCCGAAGAAGGGGAGTCACACGACAAACAGCAGTGTCAGCAGCGGAAGCAGCAGCAAGGCCAAGAGCCTTGTTGCGCAATAATAGTCACATTATACATCATGTACAGGAATTTCTTTTGTCAGCACGGTTCGCTGAGAATGAGGCATCGTTTAACGGCGTTTTCCGAGCTGGGCTTAGGGCTTAGGTGGGCCTGTCACGCATTTTTCTGATTCGACGACTCTAGATACCTTTTAGTGGCATACTTGCATGAGAACAGTTTTGCTTTAGGAATGTGGCTTGTACCCCGAGCAGAAAGAATCGATGACTCCATGTTCGTCATTGCTAATTGTTCGGCGCTAACGCCGACTACTCGGCCACCTTTGTTTGTGTTTGTGACTTCTTCTACACTCATCACTCCTTGAAGTACGAGCACACAAAAAGTCCACAACTCTTCCTATATTACCATAATACAATCCGTGCATACGCATCTCGCAATGTCATCCCCAGAACAGGGAGAAACCCTCCGTCGTGCTGAGGAAGTCAAAGACGTAAGTGGCTCGGAAGGGCATTCCGATTGTTCCGACATGTCCCTGAACTCCCATCGCGCCTCTCATTCATCAGATCCAGACAGGGATCTACATAAGCAGTAAAGACATCCGCTAACGGCAGAATCAGCTTCTCGACTCTATTCAAGAGCTGATAATACCATTCATCCGCTCAGCCGACGAAGATGCAGCTACAAAACACACAGGCCATGGACTGAAAATTGAAGGTGGCGGGCCGAGAACCGCGTTAGTAGAGCACCACCCGCCCAAGAAGCTAGAATCCATTCTGAAGGAAGAGTTGGAGATCAATGATGGTAAGACCGGTAAAGATGGCCTTATCAAGCTCGTGGAGAGTATCTTGAAGTACTCTGTCAACACATGGGATCAAGGATTTCTAGACAAGTTGTATGCGAGCACGAATGCTGTGGGAGTGGTCAGCGAATTGGTATTGGCCGTACTGAACACCAACGTACGTCTATCTCTCATAATGTACTCTCATGGTATTGCTAACACGTATTAGTCACACGTCTACCAAGTCTCTCCCGTCCTGACCCTTGTCGAAAAGCGAACGACAAAGTATCTAGCAACACTATTCGGCCTCCCTACTTCCACCTCAGGAGGCATCTCGCAACCCGGCGGCAGCGCCTCAAACAGCTCCGCCATAGTAATCGCGCGAAACACGCTCTACCCCGAGACCAAAACCGACGGCAACGGCTCCCACAAATTCACCATCTTCACCTCAGCCCACGGCCACTACTCCGTCGAAAAAGCCGCCAACCTCTTCGGCCTCGGCTCCAAGAACGTCATCGCCGTCCCCGTCGACGACCGCGGCTGCATGATCCCCGCCGAATTCGAACGCTGCGTAAAAGAAAGTAAAGACCGCGGCGAAACACCCTTTTTCCTCAACGCAACAGCCGGGACGACCGTTCAGGGCTCTTTCGATCCTTTCCCTGCTCTCAGCAAGATATGCAAGGAACAGAATCTCTGGTTCCACATCGACGGCTCATGGGGCGGCAGCGTGGTCTTCAACGAGAAGTACCGAGAGTCGCGACTCAAGGGCGCTGAACTCGCGGACAGTATCGCTATCAACCCGCACAAGATGCTCGGTGTACCAATGACTTGTTCCTTCCTCCTTGCTCGCGATATGAACACGTTCTATCGCGCACTCACGCTGCCAGCGGGCTACCTCTTCCACAACGCGCCTGGCACCGACGCAGCGGATATCTACGACCTCGCTGATCTGACGCCTCAGTGCGGTCGTCGCGCTGATAGCTTGAAGATGTTCCTTGCGCTGCAATATTACGGCCCGCAGCACTTTAGCGATTTGGTCGCTCGTGGATACGAGAACGGGGAGTACCTTTTGAGCAAACTGAAGGAGAATGGCAATTTCAAGACGATTAGCCCGGAGCCCCTGCCGTGTCTGCAGGTGTGCTTTTATTATGCAAAGGGAGGGCAGTTGAAGGAGGATGCGGACGCGAATAGTAAGGCGACGACAGATATTGCTAATAGGCTTATTAGCAGGGGCTTCATGATTGACTTTGCGCCGGGTGAGAAGGGCAAGTTCTTCAGGGTTGTCGTGAATGGAGGGTTGATCAAGGGGACGCTGGATGGGCTTGTCAAAGCGCTGGAGGAGACGGCTGCGGACTTGGGATACTGAACATGTTAAGATGAGGAAGAGGAGATGGCAAAAGTCACACAAGCGATTAGGGTCAAGTCATCGTATTGAAAAACATTCATTCATTTGAGAATTGGATATCTATGTTACATGATGCTCGTATCTCGTAATCATACCCATAGCATGGTAACACCAGAAATGATCTTCCACGCACACTTACGCAGCACTAGGCCACGGGTGCGTCAGCAAGAAAAATGGCAGAAGTGATGGATGTATACAGCTGCTTGTTGAGAGATGCAATAAGAAAGATGCATGTCGCAAGACGCAGTCTGCGATATCATTCCAACGATGTGGTAGCTTCCTTCAGGATAGCTAGTCGAGTACACCCCAGTAGCGCTCCGCGTTGAAGGTTGACGCAGAGTCAGCTTTCCATTCCGAGTCATAGGCACTGAAGAAGAACAGATCGCCATTGAAACTCGCGCGGAGGGAATCGAGGGCGATTCGTTGGTTCTCAGGCGAGGGGACGGCCGCACCATTTGCATTACCCTGGCGAGGCCAGCCGGACTCAGTGACAATAAGGCGCTTGTTACTGCATGCGGCTTTTACACGCTCGACTTGACTCTTGACAAATGTACCAGCATCCTGAGCTTGGGTGTTCCGGTCGAAGAAGGCGTGGATATTGACCATGACCACATCTGAAGCGCCGCAGATGGCAGGGTTGTCAAGCGTAGCAGGAGCGGTCTCGACTGCGCCCACAGGTCCGTTGTAACCGACGCTTCGTAGCTGGGTGCGGGCTTGACCGATTGCGTCGACAACTTGTGAAGATGTCATTCTCCGTTCGTTGACGCGCTCGTTCTCGACAGCGAAGAGTTGGATAACATCCCAATTGCCGCCGGCATACTGGTCAATGGCGCTCTTGTAGGCTTTGATGACCTGGCTGAGATCTTCACCACCGCCACTGGGATCTAGATACGCGCCGCCCATGAGCTTTTGGCCGTTCTTCTGGGCGTTCTGAATTGCAAGTGGGATCTGATTGCAGTCCATGCCATAGATGCGGATGACTTTGTAGTCCTTCATGCTACTGAATTCGCTAGCAACTTCATCCGGGGTCTTGCAGTTGGCGGAGCTGCTATACGCATCCCAAGTTATACCCAGAGGTAGAGTTCCAGCAGCAGCCTTGTCGACAGGGATGTCCTCGGGCGGGGACGCTAGTTGCGGGGGCTCAGGCTCTTGAGTAGGAGCTGGCGGCGCAGGTGACGGTGACGGTGACGGTGACGGTGACGGTGTCGTGGTCGCACCCTGAACGTCGACAGCAGTAGGCTCTGCTAGCAGAGAAGCAGATGTGGAAGACGTTGGTAAGGGAGCTGGCTCTGGCACGGCTGATGAAGTCTGCGGAGGCTCGACAGTTGACGACGTCGTCTCAGCTGTGATCGAGGGCACAGTGACAGGTGAAGTGAGGATTGTCGAAGTCGCAGTTGAATAGGGTGCGCCTGCGTCATTGACGAAGACAGCAACTTCAGCCATGACTTCGGTGACGAAGACTACCTCAGTGACAACCTTGCGCTTATGATCTGTACCTTGTTAGTGGACGATGTGTCATATACAGGCAGCGATGTGACTGCAGCCTCAGCGCAGCAGGCGAGACTATCGTCACAGTATGCTGCAAGTGAAGAGAATTCCGGTAACTCACTGAGTGGACGTCCGCTCGCAGAGCTTACTAGAAAGCCGGCGGCGGCAAGAGCGCTCGCGAAAACGATGGACTTCATGGTGATGATGAAGCGAGTGTTATGGGATGTTTAAGCTGGGTATACAACGTAAAGGTGCTGGGTGTGGGAATGTTGTGGGTTGTTTGGGTGAAGCCGTGCAGCGCAGCGGATGTATAGGTGCGAGGAATGAGTGAATGACTGCCTGCAGCTGAAAAGAAGGAAAGACCGACTGGGTCAATCTAGGGAAGCTGGGAACCAACAGAAACTGTAGAGACTGTAATCGGCGTTGAAGAGGAAGCGCATTCGGTGTTGACGACTAGGTATTGTTGCGCTGTTGTGGTACCTTTGCCTGCGCTAGCACCTTCTGGGCCTTAGGCGACGCCGTTTGGGCAATCGCGACGAACGGCGAAGGTATTCATGGATCGTCCTGCAGGGTCCAGATATCGTGGTCGCGACTGCCTTAAGAGACACGATGAGGGATGAAACGCCAACCCCAGGTTATGATAAGGAGCATGAACTGAAACCTCAACCTGCCCCAGGCGCTGGGCCACAAACATTTGGACGACTAGAACGAAGTGGAGAAGGAAACAATGTAGGTAGGAGCAGACAACACAACTAGGAGTTCGTTGGCTAGGCACATAGCTTCTCAAGACCAAGAGTACTGAGGACTGTAAACGCGGAGAAGCCAAGTGATCTGTAGACCTGCACAAGCTCATGACTGTATGAGTGGATTGGAAAGCTCTTGCCAGAAACCCACCGCTGGTTCTTGAGAAAGATAGGTCAATCCAAGTCACCATATTGGCCGATCGTTTGCAGGCCGGTGTACGGATGCAATTACAATAGCTTTAGTCTCAATGCAACAGGTGCAATATGTTTGATCGAAGGCAGCATCTATTGACATATAGCGTGTGATAAATGTTGTCCATATTTTGCGAGGCAACTAAGTTGACACCAGCCCCAGCGCTGCAAAGTTTTGTAGAAGATCAAGGAGCGCAAATTTGGAATGATAGCAGTTTGAAAGTGAAGAAAGGAAACCGAAGCGAAAGAAAGGGACACGACGAAATGCATGATGACTCGAACGATAACACTGAGAGGGGAAACATACCTGGGTACGCATAATGTTCGTGTGTGAGTAGAAACACAGAGTGAGACGAACGCATGGCAGTTCGGATCAAGCGTCCACAAGGCGCGCCCGACGTGCTAAGTATGCCGGGACTTTCAAAAGAGAGATGCGACTCCAAGAAGAAACGAAGGGTCAACAGGTCTTTAGCCTAGAGGATGCTACTCACTTGAAACCAGCTGGAGACGACGGCCTTCGACGACGTCTCTCACGAACTGAGCGAAGACTACAAAAATGTGCGCATAGCAAGCTACGCATACAGCTTCAAAGAAGCGTCGCAAATGTCATGGGACTTTACAGGTAATAGTATTGTAGATGAAGTGAACTTGGCTGAAGACAAAAAGGAGGCCCGCAGCCTGCAGGCCGTCGCCCTGATGCGGGGCACGTGTGCCACAAGCCCGGCGAACCCCTTTGACCTCAAGCGCGGGGCTCTCGCTCACTCACCTACTGCACTTGCATTCTTACCTTCTGACCTCCTACAGAAGCGAGACGTACAGAAGCCGGACGATGCATCGCAACCCGAGCGCGAAAGAAAGCATGAGTCGGACACAAGGCGCACAGGCAACAGCGCACGGCCAGCGCTTCCCTCTCTGTTGCCGACCGTGGGTTTCGCCTCCCGCACTGGCCCTCGCTTCGTCTAGCACCTGCACTGGCTCTATCAGCATCAGCAGTAACTTTTGCTCAGTATATATAGCTAATATTTACGAAATATCAATGTGCAGTGCGAGGATTTGTACGAACTCATTTCTTGCCTTTTACCAGAAGTGACCGCGAGTCCCGCACAACACTGCACTTACTCAATCTTTGGAAACACCTCACCCTTCGTGGGTTCGAAACTCTGTTTTTGCACTTTTTTTTTTTGGCTTTTTGCCCAACCCACACAAGCATTCACTCTACTCCGACAACGTCACAACTATCTTCTGGACACCAATACCCTGTCTTCATCTTTTTGCACGTCTCGAGCATCTCAATATGGCCGGGATGCTGCAGCAGTCTTGCAATTCGCTGTAGACATCAAATGTAGGTATCATGAACCCACCCAGAAATCTGGTACTCCCAGTCTCTATACACATAATATCAACATCATGACCCCTCCTATCATGACACGTGAGCACGTTTGGTTTGGTACGCTTGACAGGATATCGCACAATAAACCATGCATCGTATTTTGCGTGAAGCACACATCCGCATCCTCACTAACCGCAGTCATGGACGCAGCGCAGATTATAAGCGGTCAGTTGCTTATGCCCACATCTCTGTGTATTCAGCTAATAGAGCTCTACCAACAGAAAACGCTTCTTTCCTCTACGGTCATGAGCAGCAGTACCAGGTGATCATTCTTCCAACATGCACATGCGAAAAGGGATTTAGGGCTCTCCTCATCGCTAAGTCCAGTGAGGCTGGTCAAGTAGTTATTGCTGTCAATGATGGCGCTGTGTTCCATGGCGATACCGTCGTTGGAGGTTTGCGACGTGCAAGTAAGCGAGGAGCGGTAGTCGCACTGAGCCACCGACTTATGTCGCTCGTTGGATATCTTAGTCGTAAGTCTTTCAGGTATACGTGTCATGGCGCAGCGAACTTGCAAATGCTAACATTATGTAGATTCGGCTGGACTCAAAGACGGCGATACCTTTGTCACCAAGTACAAGAACGGTCGCACTACCATTCGTGTCAAACATCCCGACGGAACAAGGTCGAAGAAGACTATCAAGACTGGGGATATCAAGAGAACAGTTCCAGCCTGTGGTGCGACTCCTTCGAACGGAAGCGATGCTACGTGCTGTGAGAAAGAGCGTGAGAGGCTAGAGTACGAGAGTCAGAAAAGGGAGGTCGAAAGACATAACAAAAAGATTGATAAGCAGTTGAAAGATGCTGCGAAGCAGTTGGATGCTCCTGAGAAGGAGTGGGATGCTTCTGAGAAGGAGTGGAATGATGCAAAGAAGTTCGAAGATGAAGACAAGAGAAGGTGCTGTGTCGTCATGTAAGCAGGAGGAGTCGATGGAGGAGGACGGTCATAATACCTATCTCCAAGGTCAATCTGAAGTGATATTTACTCGGCGATAGTCGCGGGCTAAGAGTAGTAATACAAAGGCGATGCGAATAGCATCTACTCACACGACCAATCAAGTGGACCCCCCAAGTCTAACACTTCATCTTGATTCCCCTCCTCTTCTCATTCTCTCTCCATTCAAACATGAACTGTACACCGGTGAACAGTGCGCCACAAGCCGTAGCAAGGAACATCCAGCCGGACCAACTTCCTACGATACCACGCACCAAGTCCTTAAGACCATCGACACCCAGGGCGAAACCAACAAGATTAGCTGTCATGAGCATAAGGATCTCGAAAACGGCGCCGACTCCGCATAACCAACGATACGCATCCGGGCTGTCCTTCCATTTCCTCGCCGGGAAGATGTACGAAGCAATAATCTCGGGGAGAACGAAGAGCGTGACCAGCCAACCCCACATCAGCAACCGAAGCTGGATATCGTGCCAGATCGCGATAAAGGTAAACACGGCGAGGTAGTTTCCAACCGATCTTGCCTTGCCCCAGAGACCATCTCCTCTGTTGCCACCCAGCGGAATGTAGAGGTATCTCAAACTCCATTTGTTGAAGCTACGATGCCAACCGCGCCAGAAGTGCATGACGGAGTAATTGTCAGACATACACCTCACCATGTTCTCGGGTGGATCGATGCCGTCCAAAAGTGACCAGAGACGAAAGAAACGCCACGGGATGAGCAGCTTTAGCCAGATGTGCTTTAGGTTGAAGAAACCTAGCATGCTGAGCTGGGCTGGCGTGTACTGCGACCAGTCGGGTCTCTCGTGGAAGATGGCAACCATGTACATGTAGTGGATCATAATCTCCATGGTCAACAAGACGACAATGAAGCGGACGAGGTAGAGTGTTGTTCGCTTGGTGGTGATGCTGTGGGATCGATACCGACATTGAGCGATGTAATCGTTGAACGTGATGATGGGCCCAGCGAGGTAGAGTGGCGAGTACATGGCATACGCGAAGTAATTGCGGAAAGTGTAGTCAGTAGGCTTGGCGGGTATCGTGACACGGTCCCGCTCTGAGAGGTTGGAGGCGTCGAGTTGTTTCTTCTTGATGTTATTAGCTATATCGAACTAAGGGTGGGTGGGTAAAGTACTTCAATGGAACTACCCGTCCGAGAGTTGAGACTCCAATAGTAATCGAGATTGAAGCTGATCAACCGAAGTATGGTGAAGTTGAAAAGAACCTCCCATCGAGGTATCAGACCACCATAGCTATCTAGAGTGTGACCGAAGTTGGATGCTGGTTGACCTTTCTCCGACAATGTGGATGGAAGGAAAGTGCCGAGTATGTTCGCATACGAGTAGCCGTCTGAGAACTCGTTTGCAAATAGAGTCCCGACGTTGAAGATCCATGTAGCAGCCGGTACATATTGTCGGGGAAGCTTCGTGCCGATGCAGTAATTGGCATAGAGAATAGCGACAATCTTGAATGCAGAGAAGCCATGAAGAGCGGCAAGAAATATAGCGGCAAATAGAAGGTCGAATGAGATGCGCTGGTTCATACGGGCATCCGCTGCAGCACCTGGGGTTAAGCCCATAGTAAGGCCATTGCCGGCAGAGGGCCGAACTTGAGTATACGTACCCGCCCTCCAGAACGAATCGTAGGCCTTACGCAGAATAGGATGAAGCAGAACAACGATGAAGAGGTAGGGAATGTTCTGGCGGAACCCGCTGTACTGAGCATCGGTATTGTCCTGAGGAGTTAGACAATGGCATGTGACAGTCGATGTTGCAACGTACTACTTTGCGACCAGGTATCCAGCCATCTGACAGAAGATGTTCGAACTTCGGATAGTTTGGATGAGATTCTGCATAACGATCAGCTTCCCTCATCGTCTGCGGGCCCATTTGGACGAACCTTGAGAAACATCTAGTACCAACTTGAACATAAAAAACACGCTGGCTGCAATGGACACGTAGTAGAAGTAGAACTCCGGCGTTGACCATAGTGGTGCATGACTTCTATTCTCTAGACTCTTGTCTCCGTTTCGTCCATCTTTGACTGGTGCTGGTCCAGCGGGATCAAGTTTGGCCTCTTCGAGCGCCTCTTTCGGGGGTGCGGTGGCCGGTACAACGAAGCGTGTATCGAGGGTATCCAGCGAGTAGAGCTGGCGAATGAATTTGAGCGCCATTGTATTGCCTAAACTATCTCCTCATCTTCCAGTGTTCAAGGGACCCTGTGTATGTGCCCCTGAAGTATGCGGAGGGGAGGCGCGGGGGACAAGTGCGGTGATGGAGGCCAGGTCCGCAACCTCAGCTTTTGGAGTTCGCGTCCGGCAACAACTTCGCTCCAACACCAACGCCCATCCTGCAAGGACAGCGCCCAAAGCACCTCGAATACCCATTATCACGCGTCAATCAGGCCATACATATATCAACGAACTTTTGTTAAGCTTGGCGCATTGCGGTAGTCGCGCGCGATGAACATTCCCAACGCATCGACCGCACCAGCTGCGGGAGAGTACGCCGGAGGTACGCGAAGCTCGACGGAGCTTTACACGCAGCGCATGCTAATTGAGAACCATAGATGAGGTCTCTGCGATCGTTCTCGACCCCGGCTACTCGACCGTTCGCGCTGGATTCGCTGGCGAGGACGTGCCCAAGTCCGTCTGCCCTTCCTTCTACGGCCAAACATCCTCAGGCGAACACCTCTTTGGCGAGAATGCGATACATGCGCCGGTCGGCGGTCTCGATATTAAGAACTATTGGGGCTCAGACGGCATTGTAGAGGACTGGGATACGGCGACCAAGCTGTGGGAGTATGCGATCACGAGCCGACTCACGGGCGCAAAACCAACCGACCCTACCAAGAACGGGCTGAACGATGGCAATGGCGAGAACGAGAATGGGGAGGCCATGGACGTGGATATGGACGCGTTAGAAAACAACGAGAAGCCTCTGGAGGACAGCCCGCTGTTGGTCACGGAACCAGGCTGGAACAGCGCAAAGGCGCGGGAAAAGTACATTGAGATCGCCATGGAGGACTGGGGCACGCCAGCTTTCTTCTTGCAGAAAACTGGTGTATTGGCTGCCTTTGCATCAGGAAAGGCGTCAGGCATCATCATTGACGTCGGCGCGTCGCATACATCTGTCACGCCTGTGCTCGACGGCATGGTGCTGCGAAAGGGTGTCCAGAAATCGCCTTTAGCAGGTAACTTTGTCTCCGACCAGATACGGACGTCGTTCAAGCAAGCCCAGCCTGAAGTGCCATTGACACCGCACTACATGGTCAAGAGCAAGACACCAGTCGACGCTGGCGCACCCGCCCAAGCAACCTACAAGACATTCGAGACACCACCGACCGACTCCTTCCGTCTGAACGAAGAGGAGCGCATTCTCACGTCCTTCAAGGAATCCGTCGTAGAAGTCTGGCCCGGCCCCGGCCGCTTCAGCACCAACGAAGAGCTGGCAAAGAGCATGCCAGGCCGACCCTTCGAAATGCCCGACGGCTGGAACCAAGTCTTCGGCATCGAGAGGTTCCGCGCCGCAGAGGGCCTCTTCGACCACAACGCCGCGCTCGCCAGCGAAACCATGCCTGCGCCGAAGCCTGAACAGACAATCCCCCGACTCGTACAAGCAGCAGTCCAACAAGTCGACGCCGACCAACGTCCTCTCCTCCTCTCCAACATCGTCGTAACAGGTGGCTCGACGCTGCTCTACAAGTTCAACGAGCGCCTCAACTACGAAATCAACGCCATCTACCCCAGCACTAGGAACAAGCTCATCGCACCCGGTAGCGTGGTGGAGAGGAAATACGCAGCCTGGATTGGCGGCAGTATACTGGCTAGTCTGGGCAGTTTCCACCAGCTGTGGATCTCAAGGAAGGAGTACGAGGAGCATGGTGCTGGTATTGTCGAGAAGAGATGTCGTTAGGCACGGCGTGATGGATGCGATGCGGAGTCCATGTTTTACTGAGGGTCACTAGACTTCTATTGTTCTGTTAGGTAGTGTAATGCACAAAAGATTCCATGACTAAATGCCGTTCACATCGAATGCTTGCTTTGAATATCTGGTGAGGTGGTTCATTGATCGTCATCATATTGCCTTGTAGCTATCCGGCTGGTTCGTCTGGAACCCCGTTTCGGTGTATAATACACGTTCATGTTCGTAACGCCATCTTGCATCGCCCCGGAGCTAGAGCAAAACCTATGAGTCTATATCCATCGTCTCTGCTGTACCGGCTACATCGCCATCCTTGAGCTCGTGTACGGTCACGTACTTGCTGATCTCTTCCTTTGTGATGATCTTCTCGTTCAGCACCGCAGTAGTTCCCCGCTGGAACCTGTAGTTCCTCTGCTTGGGCTGCCTGGTGTTTGGTGTCTTGTAGTTCCTCATCAGAGTGGTCTTGTCCTCTGTGATGACCGCCACGTCCACGTTGCTACCGGAACCCAGATCGTTCCAAATACCTGCCTCGATGGCGTTTGCGCATAGTGTGACGGCATCCTCCCGCGACAGGTCGGACTTCCACTGTGTCTCGAAAACGGACATGGCGGCCAATGAACCGGAGCCCATGGTGACGTACGGCAGCTTGTCGGTGGAACCGTGGGCGTGGACGGTGAAGAGATGTGCGCCGGTGGGGTCAACACCCGCAATGACGAGGTAGGCGCCAATGTGACCCTGGTGGCGGAACAGGTGCTGCTTCAACATGGTCATGCAGGTAACGACGCGGGGCTTGCGGCCGGTGGAGAGGGCGTGCAGTTCGAGGTTCGAGGAGATGATGGCGGTGGTGAACTCGGTGTCGGCGGCGGTACCGGCACCCGCGCACCAGATGTGAGGGGAGATGTAGTGGAGTTTCTCGCAGTTCTGCGGTGCATGTCAGACCAGTGTCCATGGTGGTGGTTGTGTCTATGGCGGGGACGAGCCTACCTTGTCTGCTACAATGGGACCGCTGGTAGCTCGTGTGTCTGCTGCGATGACTACGCCGCCGTTGAAGAGACAGCCCACAATGGTTGTTCCTGTGCTTGTCGCCTTGGGCAGCGGGATGCCCTGGGCGTGGAGAGCCGCATTGCGGTTGTGGTTGGAGAAGTCGAAGCCGCCCATGGTGATGGCGTGAGGTGTCGGTGGAGGTGTGGGGTGTTTGCTGCGGAGACGGCGTGTATCGTGGTGAGTGTGTGGTGTCGCGCGTCTCTTCGGGTTGTGTAGGCGGTCGGCGGCGAGGGCGAGGTTGCGTAGCTGTCGTGCCTGGAGCTTGGAGGCAGCCTTGGCGCAGCGATGAGCTCCACTAGCTCGGGAACTTTCTCAGAACAACAAAGCGCGTCGCTTCAGAGCGTCGAGCTAATGGTCGCATGCTTGTCGCTCGACTATCCAGAGCGCCAGGCACCATCTCCTTGCATCTCCGCCGTTTCAATCACCTTCACCTGCTCCCGCCTAGCCTAGAACGGCCTGTTTGCTCTTTCCCAAAACACACCAAGGCTAGCACGCGCTCCCGCGCTCGTCCTCCGATGCATATATGAATAAGCTGAGAACTCCGACGCGCGACACCAAGCCGAGCCTCCTACGCGCCAGAACCTGTTCGGCCTGCAAGTCCTGCAGAATGTCTAAGATTCCCGCGCCGGCTGTCGAGGCTGGGCCTGAGGTGCCCGAAGTTGAGACTGAGGTAGCTACAGCTCGCACCAGACCGCCATGCGACGGTACTAACAAATTCACAGCATCTCGGCTTCAAGGTCCTCAACCAGGGCAAACAGGGCCCCAAGAAGGTCAAGATCCTGCCCCGGCCATGGCCCGCCGATAATCTGCCACCTGCGTGCGCAAACCTCCTCTCCGTCGCCTCCAAGCCCGCCCTTCTCGCTGCTGCCGGCCCCAACATCCTCGTCATCGCGTCCACAGACTCCGTGCGCAGCGCCTTCCAGAACAAGACCATAGCCGATGACATCGCAAACGCCGATGACCCGCGTCTCGAAGAGCGCGACATTGACGTCGTAGCAGACTTCACGCCCGATATCACCATCTCTACTCCCAACCTCCGCCATGTCGCTTTCTCCGCCGATGGAGATTTCTTGGTTACATCTGATGAGGCCGACGGCGGCGTCGCTGCGTACAATGTTGCGAGTGTCGTTAGCCAAGGCAAGAAAGACGCGGACACGAAACTGGCGACCGACGCACCCGTTCGCGCTCTCCTCCCAAACCCCTCCCCCGAATTCGAACAATACTTCGCCATAGTCCTCGATAACGGCAAGCTCGAGATATGCGATGTGGAGAAGGGCGTCAAGAAGACGATTCGAGAGGCACACGTCAACTGCGCCGCTTGGAGTGCGCGTGGAAAGGCTGTAGTCTCTGGCTCTATTGATGGCACCTGCGCTATACACATGACCGCTGGAGATCTAAGAGGTATCGTTCCTCGACCTCCAGACGTCGATGAAAACTACGAGGTGACCGGCGTGTCGTGGCTGAAAACTGAAGAATTCCTTGCTGTCTACTCTCTGAAGGACCAAGACCAGGACAACCCGGAGCAAAAGAAGTACAGCGTCATCAAATCGGCCAAGGGCTGGGGATCCTTCACGTACCATTCCTTTGTCTGGGATCCTCTTCCCGAGGCATTCGAAGCTCCACGTCGCCAACTACCTGCACGGATTTCGTCCACACGCCTACAAAACTGGAAGCCCGATCTCGACGACATGCTTATTATCACTTCCTCCCATGCAGACTCCATCGCGATACTTGCCTCCACAAGCAACAAGATCTCCCCGGATCAAGAAACCTGCAACGAGCTCATGATGGTCAACGTGGACGATACGAAGAAGGCTCAGGTGCCGCGAACCGCTTATGGAGACGAGGAAATGGACAGCGTCTTCATTGGCGAGGCGCTTGATCTTTCGAGCAAGGAGAAGATACTGCGCCCCATTCCCGCCCTGGAAGAGATCAACGAGGCGCCGTGGCCGCTCCCTGCATACATGGCTCTGACCCACGAAGGTCTTCTTGCGGCCTGGTGGGTGATGTGGAACAAATCTATCGAGGCTGGAGAACGCTACCCCGGTCTCATCTTCAAGAGCGAAGCCACACAGCATGCGCCTTCTTCTACTCCGAGGGCATCCACGCCTGCGTCCAAACTCCCGGTTGCTACATCTACCCCTTTCAGCAAGTCCATGGGCACACCCGGCACCCCAGGAACAGCTGGCATCCCCCACTTTGGCAACGCTGGAAACGGATTCGGTACACCAACTCCCGCTCTGATGAAACCCCAACCGCCCGGCTTTGGAACACCCGGATTCGGTACTGCTGCTACCAATTTGCCTGCTCCAACTTTCGGTAAACCTGCACAGCCTTCATTTGGTGCTCCATCTACAATCGGTAAGCCTCCTCAGCCAGCTTTTGGTGCTCCCTCTGCAATCGGCACTCCCGCCAAACCTGCCTTTGGCGCTCCTTCTGCAGTAGGTGCCGGCTCCGGATTCGGCGCAGTAGGTGGAATGGGCGGCAAAGCATCTCCATGGGGAGCGACATCTCAAACTTCAGAGTCAAAATCCAACCCATTCTCGGCCGCTGCTGGTGGTTCGTCAGGATTCGCCCAATTCAAAAGTGCTGGAGGATCAAACTCCTTTTCGAGCTTTGGAAGCAACAACTCTGCACAAGCAGGCTCCGGGTTCGGAGCACTCGGGCAAGGGCAGCAGAAATCTGGCTTTGGAGGTCTGAAGACAGAGCCAAGCTTTGGTTCTACTGTCACCGTTGGCTCTGGGACTGGATCTTCGCTACCCTCCTGGGCGACTACGCCCGCTCAGCAAAGCAGCTCGATCTTTGGACAGCAAGACAAGTCATCGTTCAACACGGCCTCGTTCGAGTCGAAGGACTCCGATGCGAGCGAGGCAAACGACCGAAAGAGGGACGAAGCTACACCTACACCACAAGCTCAGCCGTCCCAAGGCTTGTTCGGCCTTGCAGGTGGCTTCAAGCTCGGCACTACTTTTGCAAGTGACGGTACAGCTAAGGACGATCCAGCGAAGCCTGCGGCTCCTGCCAACGGTTCCTTCTTCGGCAGTGACTTCTCCAACATGCTAGGAAAGACAGGGATGAAGCCGCCCGCAACCCCAGCGAGCGAAAACCCCCCAAGTTGGGTCTCCACGACACCAGCATCCCCGCCAAAGCAGAAGTCGTTATTCCCCAGTGACACTCCTGCAAGGGAGAGCGCAACCCCCAAGGCTGCACCACCTGTGCAAGAGCCCGCTACTCCGGTGGACGACGCACCTTTGCCACCAGACTTCACCAAGGCTAAGCCGGCGAAAACTGAGGACGCACCTCTACCTCCAGATTTCATCAACACAAAGTTGCCGAATTCGACTAGCGACGATTTGCCTCCGCTCGCTGGTAGTCCTGGCGTCGAGGTGGAAGCACCTAGTTCGTCTGGAGATGTATCTCCCATTGACAACGAAGACGAGGAAGAACATGATCACGACCATGACGACGAGAGCGAAGAGGATGATGATGAGGAAGGTTTCTCTGATGAGGAGGACGATGAGGAGGTTGAAGAAGTCGACGACACATACCCGCCAAACAAGACAACAAAGCCGCAAGCCGCGAAGGCGGGTACCTGGAGCTTCCAGGACAGTGTCAACCAGTCGCGGCAGTTCTTCCCCCCTGCACCGACTCCTCCCACAGTGAAGTCCGGCGCCACATCACAGTCCGGAAGCAGCGCTTCACCAGCCCAGCCTTCTTTGTTCGCTCAGGCCTCGAAACCTGCCGCCAACCAACCATCGTTCTCAGGCTCATCGCTGTTCGGTCAGCAACCGAACAAAGGCCCCTTCTCTGGTAAACCCGATCAGTCATCGATGCCTGCGAAACCGAACTTCCCGCCTCCGACGAACCGCGCCCAAGACCTTCGCTCGCCTAGTCCAGCTCGTTCGAGCTCAGCTTCTCGTCTCCGACGAGAACCTTTGGTCGCACCGGGTGCTTCATTGAGCTCATCCATGCAGGGGTCCAAGCCGCCCACGCCAAAGCCACAGGTCTCCGATCTTGAAGATGAGGAGGACGAGCGGATACGCGCACAGCTTGCGCAGCCGATCGAGCCGAGCCGGAACCTGGAGGAGTTTGTCGCATACCAGAACTACACTGGTGGCAAATCACCTAGCAAGACGGGTCACGCCGCTCAGATCGAGTTGATTTACAAAGACATCAACGGTATGGTGGATGCACTTGGCTGGAACGCTCGATCTATCAAGTCGTTTACACAATACCACCTACAGCCCCAGACTGGTCACCAAATCGATCGACGTATGCTGGATGATGTCCAAGACCAGGGACCTCACGGCTCATGGTTCGAGAACTTCACTTTGTGCGAGATTCAAGCCTTGCGATCTCTTGAAGATCAGCTTGAACAAGAGCTGGATGCAGGGCGGGTACAGGATGTGCTCCTCAAGCTCACACAGCTCGCTCGTCTTCTTCACGACAAGGCCAAGCTCATGACTCGTCTTAATGACATACGCCGCCAAATCATCAATCGCAAGGACCCCGAAAAGACAGAAGCTCTCCGAAAGGCACCATTGCCAAAGGAGCTTGCCGATGGACAGAAGGCTCTGCGCAACGACTATGCTCAGCTTTTGACGTCGCTACGCAAGGCTGAAGATGCAGTCGCAGTCCTACGCTCGCGTCTGGTGTCCCACAACGCACAGAACGGCAGCACAAAGTCAGTGCCTTCCATGGAGGCTGTCAAGAAGACAGTCCTCAGGTTGGCCAATCTTGCTGAGCAGAAGAACAACGACATCCTCGTCCTAGAGGCCCAATTGCGCAAGATCGGCCTCGCAGACTCCAGTCGTCCTTCCTCATCTTCATCACGCAACGCTGGTACGCCCCGACGGTCACGCGGTACGGATCTCCGCCGCAGCATTGCCGATACGCCTTACGCCACCCCGCCTACCAACCGCAACAAGATGACCCTGACCGATCTAAGCCGTCGTGCTCTAACTCCCGAAGTTGAGAGTACGCCTACGCCCAGCAAGGGCTATGGCCTGTTTTACACACCCGAAGGCAGTCCGACATCGGGCAAGGAGATCGCGCGTTTGAGCGACCTGGTTGACGACAATATTGATAGCTTGCGACAGACCGCCAGGACAAGGAAGCAGGTCGCTAAGGGTCTTAAGAATGCCCTTCTCGACCGTGGGATCAAGGTCACAAAGGTCAATTGAGTAGTACATTCTGTCGATATCGGTGTTGGATTATGATTGTGTATGATTAAGCGTACTTGTTATTTGGGACGTTTGGATAGCGATTGCATGCATGGGGGATCGAAAAGGAAAATGTAATACATCTTGCATAGATAGAGCATGGGGAAGCGTGAATATTGATTGGCCTTAATTCGCTCACTGACTGACGGTGACTACTTCTCACTTTCACTCTTGCTCTCACTTTCCTTGGCGGTCTGCAAACGCGTCGCGAACCCACCGCGCGTCCAAAATTGGAACTGACAGTTTTGTTGCTGCAACTGCTGTCCTCTCAAACTGTTGAAATTGTGACAGCACAAACTCCTGCATCTTGCTAATAGCGCTTGTACATTCGAACGTTCCTCCGTTCGAATGCAGCAAAAATAGGTCACGCAACGTCCCTAGCAGCACCTGCCTAGGTCGTCCGCGCGAAGATGGCTCCCGCACTTCCTACGCAAGACTACTACGTCACCTTGGGAGTGCGACCTTCCGCGCTGTACGGCGAGATTAAAGCGGCGTACCGCCGCCTCGCACTGTTGCATCACCCAGACAAGAACAACGGTTCTCAACACGCCACCGCAACGACTCAGCTTGTGTGGAGAAGCCACCGTGCTTGGACGAGCGTGCCGTACTAACGTTGGGCACAGATCAACGCAGCATGGGAAGTACTCAAAGATGCGTCCACGAGGAGCGAATACGATCGAAGCCGTCTACAACGAACTGCTTCGTACTCAGGCAGCCAACCTTACGCTCCACCTCCAGCCGCACCACAGCCGAACCCTCCGTGGCACCCGCAACGCGAAACACCAGCGCAAAGAGAAGCGCGCGCACAGGCAGAGAGCAATCGGATACGACAAGAGTGGCTCAACTATGAGAGATCTCAGAAAGAACAGATTCGTCAATGTCGTAACACAGTCAAGTCTCTTGAGACCGAACTTGAAGTCCTCAACGAGAAGGTCAACGACAATCGAATAAAGCTGGCAAGCGATAGACTGTCCAAACTGGGCATATCTGCCTTCTTGAGCGACGGACTGAGTGGACAAGAGAAGAGCGAGATCAGACTAGCCACGATCAACGCAGAAAATGCCATTCGGATCAAGCAGACACACCTAGACGAAGCAAGGGTACGGCTCGAACAGCTGAACGATGACCTCACGGAACGAAAAAATCAAGAAGGCGAAAGGCTTGTGGCTGAGCTGGCTGAGCAGGTCAGGAAAGAACGACTTGCGAAAGAAGAAGCTGAACAACGTGCGAAAAGAGAGCAAGGGAATTCTCGAAGACAGCACAAGAAAGAGATGCGAGAAGCAGAGCTTCGAGCGAAACAGGAAGCAGAGCATCGGGCGAGGCAAGAAGCAGAGCATCGTGCAAGACAAGAAGCAGACTACTGGGCGAGACAAGGAGCAGAGCATCGTGCAAGGCAAGAAGCAGACTACTGGGCGAGGCAAGGAGCAGAGTATTGGGCGAGACAAGCGGCAGAGCATCACGCAAGACAAGCGGCAGAGCATTACGCAAGACAAGCGGCAGAGCAGCGTGCAAGACAAGAAGCAGAGCAGCATGCAAGACAAGAAGCAGAGCAGCGCGCAAGACAAGAAGCAGAGCAGCGTGCAAGACAAGAAGCAGGGCGTGCAAGACAAGAGGAATCGAGGAGGCACGAGACCGGCTGTAACCACAATACGTTGTGGGTCAGAGTTGAAGGCCAACATACTTGTGCACTCTGTATCCGAACACTTGACGCATTCGCAATGCAGTGTTTCGGTTGCGGTACCAACGCGTGTGTATCATGCGGACAAATCTTGAGAAGTGGAGGCAACACGTGTGTACCACGATGACGGGACTGCGCAGGGTTGAGACGAGCTCTTCTTCTGGTGGGATGGTAGTGTTGATACCTTGGGAGGATGTTATGACAGGCATGGTTGGAACTGAGAGGCATTCTATTCTGTATGTGGCATGGAAAGTACTTGGGCGTGGATAAAGATGATGGGCAAGTTGCGATACCTAGGCTCGCTCTCCAAATGCTGCTGCAAGCTTTTGGGTTGCTACGATGCCAGTTGTATATAAATCTCAGGACGCGGAAGGGTTGTGTGGGATGTTGGAAGGGCCTCGATCGTGCCAGGTCCACTTTGTTACCCCACTTTCGGCCCTTCCCTACGTCAAGCTTGGTGTGGGGCAAACAGCTCATCGTATGCATGTAGCAAGATGCGACAGAACAACACCATAGCTCTACTTCTTCATTGCCTCATTGTCTGACTTCTTACTATTGTCCCACCTCCTCTATTTCAATCCCCACCACTCAAACCACTAACCACAACATCCATACAAAATACATACCCAAAATGTCGGAAAACGCTACCGAGATTGTGTACATTCCCATGAAAGCCGGCCTCGATCTCTCAACGGGCGAAGCGAAAGAAACTTGGGAGTCAACCCTCAGCACTATTGCCAAACAGCCCGGTGCCAAAGCATTATACTGGGGCCGACAGATCGAGAACCCAGATACCGTGCAAATGGCCGTGGGTACGTAACCCTTCATGTCTTATTCGATAGATCGCTGCGCAAGTGGTGTCACCTTGCACGTTTGCTGACCGAATGTAGAATGGGAATCTATCGAGGATCATAGAACATTCGAAAAGACTCCCGGCTACCAACCTTTTCAGGCAACCATCATGGAAAAACTTGCATCTGGCGATGACCCAACGATCTTCCACGTCAACTTTCCCGCTTCGCACTCTGGAGGCGAGAACCCGTTCGCCATGCCCGTCACCGAGTGCATAAACGCCTTCTTCGCCCCCGACTACTCACAGGAGGAATACAGCTCCCAGTTCTCTACTTTCCGCACCTTGGCAACCGAGATACCTAATGTCGAGGCCAAAGGGGTGATTGGTGGATGGAGCGTTGAACCGCAGAAGCATGAGAGTCTGGGCGAGGGGGTTGATGGGAAGTTGTTTGCGGCGTTCATTGGATGGCCGAGTGTAGAGGCGCATATGGAATTCCGCAAGACTGAGGATTTCGGGAAGCTTATCCCGCATCTGAGGGGCGGGCCGAAGGGAATGAAGGTTTGGCATGTTGCGTTTCAACAGTACAAGTAGATAACCACCCTCGCTTTCCTGATACTTCAAATTCGACCCTGAACAAGTGGCTAAGAGAATGTTGCGTATGTTGTAAGCCGTCGTGTGGTGAATTAAACTTTTCTGGGTATATCTACGACGTAGCGCCAAGTCCACGTCGATTCTGTGGTCATTTGCTCCCAAACGCCCGAATCCTTCAATTACTCCGATCCATGCATTTCTCATTCGCTCATGACATGCCCTTGGGCGGGAAGCTAGACTCCTTCTTGAAACCCTCCTTTGAGATTCTGGAAAACTTGAGAGTGGCCAGCTGAGCCCACTCGCCGTTCCACTCTTTCAGCTTCTTCAAGTTGAGCTCGTCCTCAAGGTCCGGTACCCAGAAGCCAGCGGCATACTCGTCTCGCTCGGTGTTCTGGTGGATCTCCAACAAATTTTGACGCGTGCTTGCTGGTCGTCCCGGACGACGAGCTGCCTTCAGTTGGGCCAGCTCTTCGTCATCGCGACCTAAGTAATCCTCAATCATGGCCTGGATCTCCGGTACGCTGAGTGGTGCAACATGCTCTGCGGTATATGATTGGAATGATTTCACTCTATTAACTATCACTAGTTAGCGATAATACAGTCAATCGATTGCAAACATAACGCATACCGTATGTTCGATTTTGATCTTTTCGTTGTCTGAAAACGCGATTGAGCTTTTCGTCTCTCTGCGCTGCGCTTTGTAGCCGCTTGGTATCTCGGCTGCCCTCGTGCAGGTTGGGATTCTTTCCCTTCTTCTTCGTAATCTTCTTGTGCACCTTGTCGAGACGATTGCTGACCATTTTGAAAGTTTGACGTTTTGTTTGGTGCTGGTGTTCGCGCAAGAAATTTTGGATATCCATCGGCGCTCGGCGATCGCGACCACGCTAGCAGTCGGACGCGGACTAGTGCGTATATTAGCGGGGCGCGTTCCTGTCATCTCGTGTACCCGCGATCAATGACTGCTCCACACTATCGATGTGAACGCGCTCCCTTTTCTTTTTCGCTTGATTCGCAGTGCATAAGGGCGTTTCTCCTCTCGTCACCAGACTGCGAAACCACCATGTTGCGGTAGTTGTTGCTTCTCTGCCCGTTGTATAGGACGGACGCGTGAGCGGCAAAGGGTACAAGATGGGCATCTCAGGTGGGTACACCCAATCATCCCGTCTACAATACTAACGGCCGAACAGGCCTCCTTCCGCTACTCAAGTCGGTTCAGCAACCATGTACTCTCAAGAAATACGCCGGCAAGACGATAGGCGTCGACACCTATGGCTGGCTCCACCGCGCTACCGCGACCTGTGCGATTGACCTGGCGCTCGAAAAGCCGACGACCAAGTATGCGTTGATGCGTCCATGGACGACAAGTGTTTGCTAACCTTGATCCCTAGATATGTCGACTTCGTCATGCACCGCGTCCGCATGCTCATCCACTTCGGCGTCACCCCCTACCTTGTATTCGACGGAGACAACCTACCGAGCAAAGCTGGCACAGAGAAAGACCGAAGGGAACGAAGAAAGGAGGGCAAGAGGCTCGGGCTGGAACTCCTCAAGGTCGGAAAGACGGCACAGGCGCAACAGGAATTGCAGAAGAGCGTGGACGTGACACCGGAAATGGCGCGGATGGTCATCGAAGAACTGAAGCAGCACAACATCGAGTACGTCGTCGCGCCTTACGAAGCTGATTCGCAGCTCGCATACCTGGAGCGGAAGGGCATCATTCATGGGGTCTTGTCCGAAGACTCCGACCTACTCGTCTTTGGCGTCAAGTGCCTGATAACAAAGCTGGACAAATACGGAGAATGCATCGAGGTCAACCGGAATCATTTCACTGCCTGCAGGGAGGTCAGCTTCGTGGGATGGTCTGACGCCGACTTCCGAAGAATGTGTATCCTGAGCGGTTGTGATTATCTCTCAGGTATTGGTGGACTTGGCCTGAAGACTGCCCATCGAATGTTGCGGAAGCACAAGACTGTCGACCGTCTAGTCAAAGCTGCGCAATACGACGGCAAGCTCAAGGTGCCCGCTGGCTTCTTGGAGTTGTTTGACCAGGCTGAGAAAACCTTCCTTTACCAATGGGTCTACTGTCCGGTCGCCAAGCAGCTGGTCAATCTTACGCCACTCGAAGAAGGGGTTGATCTCGCCGATATGCCCTATATCGGAGAGGAGGTACCAGCGCACCTCGCCACCGGTGTTGCAAGTGGTGACCTATACCCACGCACAAAACTCCCGATGAGCATCACGAGCAACAGTAGGCCTGGCAGGAATTCGTTTGGTCCCTCTCGAAGAGCCTCGACAATTGTTCAGACACCCGACGCGAAAGGCTCAAAGCCGATTGATTCGTTCTTCAAGCCTAAGCGTACGCCGTTGGCCGAATTGTCGCCAAATGTTTTTACACCATCACCTAGTCAGCAAGTATTGCTGGAACAACAGAGAGAGTCAAATGGATGGGCCGCAGTACCCGCTCCAATCTCCCGTTTACGACCGAATCCTCCGACGCCTAGTACGGCGCCTCAACCACCACGACGCACCATGACTGATCCAACTGCGGGTAGACGTTCGGTTCCGCATCCTTCTAAGAGACAACGACTGTGCTCCGATTCTGTCTCCGAGACACTCGCCGCTGGCGACGATGGTGTTGTGCGGAGCCAATTTTTCGCACCTTCTATACCAGAACCAAGCCCAACCTTGCACCGAGAGAAGAGTAGGAGGAGGAAGACCGACCAGGACTTCGAGCTCTATTCGGATGACTCAATACAGGAGGTTATGGCCGAAGTGGCTGATCTAGAGCAAGCGGCATCTGCCCCCAAGAAGAAGCTACGGGTCTTCAGTGATACACAGTCCAGCTTTAGGAGCGAATCACAGTCGACGGTCTTCTCCAGGGGCAGCACTGCGCAATCACAAGATACTATCGGCACTCTCACGCCGGCATCCTCCCCCGAGCCCGAGACCGTCTTCAGCGCTGCAATCTCATCCACAATGAGTGAGCTGCGATCAAAGTTCACATACAAGTCTCCCTCGCCAGCACCGAGTATACCAAGAGCTGGTAAGAGTCGTCTGAACCGTCGGCCCACTGAGGCATGGCAACCTACACCACCATCTCAAGCTTCTGCTCTTACAGTCTTTTCGGCGCCCGATGAGGAACCCATCATCCCCGGAACACCGTCCAAGAAAGATATAGACGTGAAACTTGCAGTCTCTGCTTGGGCGGCTGTAGAGGCCGAGGTAGTCATAGCCGCGAGCTCACCGCCTCCTATGACGCCTGCGAAGAGGAGGAGATCATCACTGAAGGGGAGCGAAGACCTCCTTGTTCCGGATAGCGAAGCCGAGAGCGAGTGCTCACCCCGAAAACCGTTGTTTAACCTTAAGCGATTTGCATTTGCTGGTTAGTCTCGCTTTGCATTGCGAGTACTTAGCATATCATTACATGAGCGTACGACTTGCGGTATTGTTGGAGTTTGTTGCGGCTAAGCGCGTTTTTGGTGCTTGCAAGGTTGTTACGATCACGACCATGGCAGGCGAAGGCACACGAAGTGTCAGAACATGTATCTTCATTTGGTAGTATACCCTCAATACCTATCTGTTTTAATGGTAGCTGGGTTGACTTTGCGCGTCTATGTGTAACAGTTGGATGTGCCCAAGACCCTCTAGCTCACAGACAAAGGCAAATCGGTCGGCCCTCACGGTACTTGACTTCTAATTCGCAACAGTGTCCTCGATCTTTGACGTCTCGGAACAAAGCATCTTCGCCTTAATCACTTAGTGGATATACTTCAACCTCTGTGGTTCTTTGGCATGGCTTTGTTCGCGACCATATCGGCCGCATGCGGTGGTCGACACAAGACAGGGCTATTTAGTTCGCGCCTAGTATCCCGTCTACGGTTCAAAATTACGAAGTCATTCGCCAATCTTCGGAACACAATTACTGTGTGACACCCAATTGAACTCAAGACCAAGCCGCTACCTCGATCCCGGTCTCAGTCATTAAACAATCCACGCTATGCCTCCAAAAATCATTGCCACCGCGGCTTCTACCCGAGAGAGACGAGAAGCAGTTCGCGAAAGTCTTAACGAGGATGCTTTGCGGAAAGCCCAAGAGGCTGCGGCTAGAAAGAGGGCCGCCGAGGAGGCAGCGCTGCGAAATTCAAAGTCACCTTCACCTAAACCAAGGTCTAAGCCTGGATCTAAGGGGGGGATACGCACTAGGGCTCTGTGTGTTCTTGTGAAGAAGCCTAGAACTACTGGCAAGAGTAAGACCGGGGCCAAGCAACAGCAAAAGAACAACGTAAAGAAGACAAAGGGTGGCAGAGTAGCAAAAGATAGCGGAAACAAGGGTAGAAAAGTCAAGAAGGAGACGGATGTGGCTGCTCACGATTCGGACGACAGTGAGATGGAAAGCGCCGAGAGTATCACGACAGCAGAACCTGCTGTGCGGGCTACAAAGAGAAAGCAGGCTACTAAGGCTAAGGGAAACAAGACTACCAAGGCCAAAGCTACTACGACGAAAGAGAAGAAGAAGACGCTATCGCCCAAAAGAGAACGTGTCGTCAAATTCCGTACCATCAAAAGGTCACTTTCGATTGAATCGTCTGGGGAGGGCCGTGTTGAGAGTGATGATGAAGAGGATAAAGAGGATGATAAGGATGATGACATGTCAGGCGCGAACTGGGTATAGTAGATTGCTTGCTACAAACTAATGATCTATACCTAGGTAGATAGAAGACGATAGAAAGGATTTTCCTAGCCATGATGCTGAGTTTTAATATGCAGTCGTGTCGAGGGATCGAATAGGTGATGAAGATTTGACGCAGGAACAAGCTTCAATGAAAGTCAGTGTTTCGGGAAACAGGGAGAAATCTGCGAGGCTGAGCAGTGGGAAAGTGTCAAAGCGGCTTTAGTCAAGCCTGGTAGCGACAAAATCCTCGACAAAGTCCCAGGCAATGTGGTCTTCGTCCTCGTCGTTTTCTTCGACCCACGCTTTCATAGTCATGTTGCGAGGAGTTGGGTGGACCCAGGTGCTGTTGAGTACAGTGTCGATCGCTAGAGGAATGTTAGCACTAGTTGACGGGGACACATATCCACATGAAGGAGTAAAAAGACAAGACTTACGCAACAACACTTCCATACCACTAGCCATTCGGAATAGCGCAGCCTGTGCAATAGGCTCAAGCTCAGAGCGCTTTTTCGTCGCTGGACGCACGTCTGGGCCGCCGTTCTTGTAGATTTGCGCAGTCTGGTTATTGATACATTGACCATGAGGGTCATTGTACGCTTGACAGTATTGCACGCCATTTGCGGCCGGATTGCCAAAGCCGACGATAAACTGGCAGGGTTGGCTGTTGCATGTGCCGGTGGTGTATTGTTGGATGATACGACCCTGACGATCGTTGTGCCTGTTGATGACACACTTGCTGACTTGACCACGCGCATCGGCATCAGAGGTACTGGCGAATGGATATTCGTCGCAGTTCTCGCCAGCACGTGGATTACCACCGCGCGTCTATAAGTGGGTCAGCGAATCCTTTGGAAAGTTGATGCACCTCATTCAAGGAAAATACTGAACACCCTGGAGTCTACATCAAGATGAAAAAAAATGCATAGTAGATGATCCAACATCAACGTAGACGTCAGGGTGTTCAGTCCTTCTTTTGAACGAAGTGGAGGGAGACTTACGCTGCAACGGTTGGGCCTAGGAAGACAGCCAGCTGATCTTTGACGGGCTCTTCCGATAGCACTGTCACGATTTCCAGTACCACCATAGCGGTCATAGTTCAGTGTTACTCCGAACGATGGGCGAGTGCAGTAAGCGCCCCAGCACATGTTGTTGCAGATATCTGAGCTAAGTTGAGTATAAATCGCTTTCAAGAATCCAGTGACGTTTACCTTGGAGGTTGTCGCCACAGTTGAAGATCATGCCGGGTGCGGCGAGCCCGGAGGCTATCAGACCGGAAACTAGGAGAGTCTTGAACATGATGGCTTGTGTAGTATGGTTCGCAAGTGTTTGAAGACCGCTGTTGTGTAGAATACATGATATCGAGGCTGCCTTCTATATACTCGTCGTGGCCCCCGTTTACATGCCCATGTCAACCCTGCCCAAGTATTGGGAGGCCTCTTCTGTACTCACAGCTGAACATAGTCAATGCAATCGTATGATCGAATTCTTGAACTAGTTTCAAAACCTTGCCAATGATCTGCAGAACCGCAGTTGGAGCCGCCCCGGGTAGAAGCTAAAAGGATGAGGCGCGAACTGATCTGCTTGTAGTTGCCGTATACGATGGTCGAAGAGGGCGCGCCTAATCTCACCGGTATGGCAAAGCGAAAGCCGATTCCCCGGATCGTTGCTGTGAATAAGCTGGGCTTCGGCATATATCTGCCTTGTCGTCGAGATCATGACTGGAATCGGCCAATGCCCTTCATTCCATGGTATTTAGTAGAGCTGATAAACTTAAAAGATCAGCAGTAGTTTACTAAACCATGTCTACAAATGGTACAACCTTCGACTATAGGACTAAGTCGTCAGCATACTGAGACATTCTCACCGGGCAAGCCGAGAAAAAGCGAAAGTGTCGTACATTACCGTCAAGACGTGCAGGAAGTAGAGGCTGTACATGAACGGGAAGGCTCGGCCCGCCAGTGAGCCCTCCAATGATCAAATCTGTGACATCATACCTGGGTAGTGTGCAGCACCCGTGGACCACACATAAGCTTCGTGCGACTCTGCCCCACTTGTGACTTCTCATCGTACCTCGCATCATCGCCTTACGCCCGGCTGCGACGCTAAAATTTGAGCAACAATAGTGTACGCAGGGCCATCTCTGATCACAAGGCTCGCCCCACTATAGCGCTCCTCGTTACGCATCCGCGGTTGCCTGAACTGACCCACCTGGGGACTACGGCTGAGACGTGGTTTCTACCTACCCATCTACCTCATCTAAACCAACTCTTTGCCTTCAATCAGACCACTTGACACAACATGTCTTCCACAAAAGACCTCGCGAAAACACTTCCTAAGAAAGCGCCCAATACAGAATACCACCGCGCCACACTGAATGGTCTAAATCGTTTCAAGTTTGCAATCTTCTACACAGCTGCTCTAGACACAGCAGACAGCCAACGGCTTGAAGAAAGTATCAACACGGGCGAGCTCAGTACGGGAAGGTCTAAACTCGCTCCACAGCCAGATTTCAGCGGTCGCTCGTTGCGAGACGTTTATGACTACTTCATCGAGCTACGCGACCAAGACGATACCATTCATCCGCTCTACTTCATTGTAGCCGACCAAAAGGACTTCGACAACAAAGGAATCTTGGTCGTTCTGCTCAACTCGAGCCAAGACGAGGAAGACGTTCCAGGCGTTGGACGTTGCGACAATGTCGAGGCGGACTCATGGGGTTCCAATATCGATATCGGTAACCAAGATTGGTTCGATCTGAAGGAACGGGAGGCTGAGGAGTGGGGTGGGGATGACCCGTATGCGGATGATGACGACAAAGATGACAAGGCAACGCAGGGGCCTGCCACTTCGGATGCGTCGCCCAAGAAAGTGTACGGGTGGTATAGCTTGGTAAAAAAAGGTACCTAACGCATGTGCTCATGTACAAGACTTTGCACGTTAGCTAACTCTGCATAGCCGTACCCATCAGCTCCATGCTCGAGCCATCATGGGCCAAGATGAAGAAGACAGAAGAGTCTCGCTTACAGATGCTCGGGAACTGGCATTCTTCAAGCGATCCCTGGGCCGATATTCGCAGAGCACATCCACGACAATGTGCTTTCAGACCTACCGTCCATCGAAACATCATCCTGGTCGCAGAGAAAGAGGATGCTGATGATCCTGAGGGCATGGCTCTTGTTCGTTTGAAGTGGGATGGAAACACCGATGGCGTCGAAAATGCGAGCCCACCGCTCATGCCGGAAGTTGAGATATTAGGCAAGATGAGCGCGGGCAAGGCTTTGGAAGAGGCCGATCGAGCGGCGCAATAACTCAACACATTGTCAGCAGCATCACCATGTGTGCTTGGTTCACACGTTTCTGATCGAGCGTTGCAATCGATGAATGATAGCTTATCCTATACCAGTAGCCATGTTCCTACATAATTGCATACGATGGCTGATAGTGTTTGATACGTGCCTGGGTATCCTTTGCCGAGTCGAACTACGATGTTTACCGTAACATTGACACTGACGCTGCCGTCACAGCAGGTTCCAAATGGTAAAATCAACTACGTGATAAAATACCGCGTTTGCCTACTATAACCGACGCATACGTCATGGAATGGAAGATGTGCCATAGGCGGTCATCCTCCTCTAAGAATTGGACGGTATAGCTACCACAGTCTGACCGACAGCTTCAAGATAGCGCTGTGGATCAGTGAGCCACGGCTTCTCGTCTGCCGAACGGGATAGTGGCGACGTGAAGAATGCCCATAGTAGGTCGTTCACGAAGTCTCCGTGCATTTCGGCTGCCGGGTCGCGTAGCCCGTCCGACAGAGTTGGCCGTGCTATAACCCATATGTCAACCAGGAGATTCCTTATCAAAGCCCCCTTGGATGTTCCAAGATAGACCTCCTTCACCAGGCTGAGACTTGGATATCTCCCGGCACACGCGCGCTGCGTCATGCTTGCTATGACTGCATTTCGAAACGTGGTATCGAGCAACGTGATCCCTATGAGGAAGGCCCTCACTAAGGTTTGCCACACATGCTTTATGTCCGTTACATGTTCCATCTGCTTCGTGTACAGCCAAGTGAGGTATGTTCTGAACGTGGCCGCGGTATGACCGTCGATGCGGATGGGTTTCTGTTCGACGTCGATCGCGACGATACCGGCATCGTTTTTGAAGAAATCTGAGCTCGCACACGCCAGCTTCTGGTGAATCTGGAAAATCTCGTCCTCGACTCGGACGGCGATTGTTGTGCCCGTGAAGCTAATGTTTTGTAAGTTTACGCCATTACCAGAGTTTTATAGACTCACTCAGTACCACTATGAACATTAGCTCTTTTTGGGCGCTTTACAGGGGAAGCCATCCTACCCGGGAACGAGTACAGTAAGTTCTTGCCTGGGGTGTTCACAACACGGTTTCCAGGTGACAGAATTGTGGACATGATGTTGCGCAAGCGTACCATGGTCGCTGCGAGCCAGTATCCGTTTCGTATTACAACACCACTTCAGCAACTCCGCCGTAGGCTAGAAGTACTGCACATCCCTTGTCTAACTTCGCGAGCCAGCATTGCTAGGCTTGACGCAGTAGATTGGTAGAACGCCGACAGGTCCGAACGATTCGGCGGCATCCTGCCATCCGAAAGATCGAAGGAGTGGCCGGCGCATGTATCGTGAGTTCGGCAGGGTCCTCGAACGGGGAATAGCGATGTCGGCGTTGTGATTGCGCCATGTGAACACTAAGGTCATAGCGGTTTAGAGATTTCACATCGCAACATTTGCGGAAGCATCAAGTTTTGTAATATGACTCTTCATGCGCGGAACCATACGCGTTGAAGTGGGTGAATGGAAGCCCGGGATGGGTAATCGCGGGATGACACGTCTTCACGCGTTTGCCAAGCCGCTGCTGTACGTCATAGTGCTCTCCAACTGAAGCAACCGCCTGCGAAGGATAGGATCTAAGCTGCTGCATTTTTATTATCGCGCTGGTCGTGTAAAGAATTGCCCCAAGTTGCA